ATCGAATTTTCTGTCGAAGAGAATTTTGCTTTCGATTGTGTAGCGAGAAAATTGTGAAACATGTATGATTTCGCATTTGTTTTCTTACTTTTTGGCGGCAAGACACTAATTTTAAACAATTTTTATTAATTTTATGCAGTTTTAACGTCGTGAATACTAAACACAAGCTCGAAAAGCTGGTTTTACTTATGAAAGAAAATTCCAATACTCTGTTGGCACGATCTCTGAGAACAAAATCACAGAGCTGTTTATAGGTTCAATATATTTTAAATAGATTTGGATCACAAAATTTCTTAAATATATTGTATGTAAAAATATATACGAAAGACTACACTTGAACTCTCTTAAAACGTTTTCTGGTCCTGGCCAGTTTTCTAAGCTTTCGTCCTCTGACGAATCGATGAACTAGAACTTCTTTGTACTCATTTTTACGTTTTTATAAACTCGCTTTCCTTTTTATTTAATTTTAATTTGCACAAATTTACATATATACATATGTATAACCACGCCATTTAGTTTTCTCGATTTGTAAACAAAGCTTGTCAGCGGTGAAAAATATACTATTATGAACAACCTAAACGAGCGAAATTCACAATAGCGCTGTTTTTCATCGAATGAGCGCCATAACACCAAGTGAAAATTCGTTCGATCAGCACTTTCGACCGCAGTCGAAGATCGAATGCAACTCATAATTTATGAAAAATGTTTATCCCTCACTTCTGAAGTACAAGTTCACTAATTATATCATATGATCGAACCATTGATTGATATCCCTGATTTCTAATCCGCATTCCACTTTGACTTGCAGCACGCCAGACATTGCTCTGCTGTGCCAACTGACGCCAATTGGAAATGCCAACTGAAGCCAAGTCCTTCTCCACCTGGTCTTTCCAACGCAGAGGAGGCCTTCCGTTTCCTCTGTTACCAGCATCGCGGTCCGCGTTGAATATTTTCAGAGCAGGAGCGTTTCGGTTCATTCTAAGGACATGGCCAAGCCAGCGGAGCCGCTGAATTTTAATTCGCTGCCCTATGTCTATATCGTTGTAAAGCTAACCGTTAAATCGTTTGCGGTATTCGCCATCGCCAAAGCGTAAAGGTCCGTAAATCTTTCGCAGAATCTTTCTCTCGAAAACTTCAAGAGCCGCTTCATCATATGCTTTCATTCTCCATGTCTCCGCTCCATACACCAGCACAGACATGATGAGTAACTCATAGTGTGATCTTTGTACGACGAGAGGACTTTCCTTCTAAATCGCCCACTCAGTCCAAAGTAGCACTTGTTGGCAAGGCCGACATTATTATTGGTGTTAATGCTGGTTTCCAAATAAACGAAGTCGCCTA